CCTTGTGGCCCTTGAACTTGTGCTCGGAATGTGTGGTGACTTTGTGATCCACCCTGAGCTTTGCTTTGCTTTGCTTGACTGGTCTTGTGACCCCTTGTTCTCCCCCACTTTGCCTATGGGGGTGTGTCATAACATTATAGCTTACTTATTTGTGTAGGCTATAGTGGGGTATCCCATTAGGGGTACAACCCAATTAGGGTTTCCTATTTGTACTCACTTCGTTCATAGTCATTCCATTTCTCGTTCTAAGTTTCTCAGGGCCAAGGTGGGGAGCGGGGCCCCAGACGTCTAAGTGGAGAGTCTCGAAGGGCTTGGTGACCGGACGAAGGGAGGAGGAGTGAGGGGTGGCGCGCAGCCGACCCTGGACACAAGGACCGCACGGAGGAGCTGGGGACGGCGGGAGTGGCGGGAGGACTCGGGGGAGGCCTAAGACAAGATGCTGACTAGACATAGCGCCGAGACAAGGGAGGGAAGGGTGACCAAGGTGGTGGTTCCAGAGGAGGGAGGGGTGGGCAAGCGACCGACACGAGCACAACGCAGCAACTACACATGACAGCAACTTGACTGGACCCGGCTACCTGGTGGGACGGGGGAACCTGACGGGGGTCGGTGTGGAGGGTGTACAGACCAGAGCCCGACTCCTGGTGAAAAGTGGCCAAGGGGGCGTACGTGTCACTGTCCACACAGACCGCGGTGTCACCAGAAGGCTCAACCCAGACCCCGACGTGCTGTCTCGCCAGGGTGCCCACACCAACCAGGTTCCTAGAGAACGAAGGAACGTGGAGGCCAGTCAGGGAACCAGAAGGAGCAGCTTGGGCACGGGAGTGTAGTGGCATGAGTCGCAATGACCGGTCCCGAAGAGGGATCGGCCAGTGCTACAGGGACAGGCGCCGGTAGCGGAGAGAGAGTCGTGCAATCACGGAAGCAGTGTGACGCTCCGGAGTCCAGTGTGAAGGAGAGAGAGGCGTCCGCCGAAGGAGTACCTGTACTAGTAGCTAAACAAGATCCTACACTAGCACCTACTCTAGCAACAGGCAAAGATCCTAAGCTAGGTACAGGCAAGTACACAAATCCAAGAGCACTATAGTCAACATCAGCATACATGGCATATGACCTAGCATCATCCATAGTCATATCAAAAACAGCAACACCACGAGCAAGAAGTGTCCCCCAGCGTGGCGGCGGGGGAGCGGAGGGGCCGTGGTGCAAGCTGGTAAAGGTCGTCGAGACGACTGAAGCAGCGTGCAGCAGAGTGATCGGGGCGGCTACAGTACGAGTCCCGACGAGGACCCGTAAGGATCCAGTACTCACAGGGACCAACGTCGCGGCCGGCCGAGCGAGGTCCCCGACTGGAGGGGGCGCCACTGCGCCTAGTGCTCGGGGGACCCGTAGACCTCCACTGTTGCTGAGGGCCCCACTGCTGCAGAGGGCCCCACTACTGCGGAGGGCCCCACTGCTGAGGCTGCTGCTGTGGCGGGCACTGCTGCTGGCCCTGTCGCTGCTGCCGCTGTCCCTGCTGCTGCTGCTGTCCCTGCTGCTGCTGCTGTCCAGGCGGTGGCAGCTGCTGAGGAGTCGACTGCTGCTGCTGCTGGGACCCCTCACCACCAGTGAAAACTCCATCGTGAAAAGGAGGGCCGTCAGGTCCCGAGCCACCCCCACCACCACTCCCACCACCTGCTCCACCGCTACCGCCACTACCCGCACCACCTCCAGTACCCCCGCCGTCCTTCTCGCCCCTCTTACCAGCCTTGCCACGTTTCTGCCCACCAGAGACAGAAACAGCCGCCGTCTCCTCAGAGGCAGAAGACGTGGGGGTGGCAAGTGAGGCAGAGAAGGTGGGAAGCTGTGGTACCGCACACCCCTCAAAAAGACGAGGAGGAGGCGCAGAAGAGGCAGAGGCAACAGTGAGGAGGTTGCTCTCGATCTTCGAGAGAGGAGTCTCGAGAAGATCGATGGTAAGCTCAGTGAGGTGCTTCAGAAGAAGCGCGTCGCGGGATGTGGCTAGGCGGTCAGGGAGGCGAGTGACTAGCCAGTGAATAGTGAGCCACATAGGGGGTGGGGCAAGGGCAAGCTGGTCCTCAGTGCAAGCAGCGCGAAAGCGAGCATCAAGGGAGCGCAGATGGGTAGCGAGGTCAGAGACAGTCTCAAAGGAGGTGAGGTCAGGGTAGATAAAGGGCACGAGGAGGCGACTGAGCGAAGCAGAGGAGGGAGTGGAGTAGCGAGTAACAATAGCCTTATACAGATCTGCAGCAGACTCGACCTGAGCGAAGTGGACTGCCTCTGTCGGCGGGAGAAGGTCGGTCAGGGCGAGGCAGGCAGCGGCGTCACGAGACTCCCACACGTCGCGAGCGAGGAGCTGGCGCTGGTAGTCAGCCTCCTGCTCAGAAGTAGGCGGTGGGGTAGTGGGCAGTGGCTGAGGTTGCGGAGGGGCGGTCTGAGTGCGAACAGGTACACGCCATCCTGCCGCTGGCTCTTAAGGTGGCACTACGCCTGTGTAAGCCACGTACTAAAATCAATGGGTCTCCCTTCAGGATCAAAACGAAGTACTTGGGAGGTCGCCATAGGGGGCGAAACTGAGAGAGCGCGGCTACCAGCCGCGGGAGGGGGGGAGACAGTCACTAACGTGTGAGCAGGCGCGGAGGCATGTAGGCGGGTAGGTGGCGCATCATGTGGACAGACGGGCGGCGCATGTTGAAATGAACGAGAGGAAACTAAGTTTTAACTAGGGCCTAGGCTTAGGAGCCTAGGCCCAACTTAGGTATCGAGCGGGTTTTGTGCCTAGGGAGAAGTTCGAGTGAGTTGAGAAGAGTTGGGAAGAATGGGTTTCACTATGGGTTCAAGGAACATATAGCATAGGAAACAAAAGAAGAGGTGCACCACCTACAAATTTGATAACTACACTATAGCTAGAACTACATGCAGTTATAATTAAACATAATTCTGACAGCCCAGTGCGCTGGCTGGCGGGCGGCGCGGCGCGGTGCCTGGCGAGCGGCGTGGCGCGATGGCCTGCGGGCGGCGCGGTAGGTCGACGGGCAGGTGGCGGCGGGTCGACAGGCGGGCGGCGCGACACGCGGGCATATGGGCGGCACGGCGGGTCGACGAGCGGGCTGCGCGGCTGGTCGGCGGACGGGAGGCGCGGCGAGTGGGCCTACGGGCGGCACGGCGGGTCGACGGGCGGGCCTACGGGAGGCGCGACGCGCGGGCGTACAAGCGGCACAGCGGGTCGACGGGCGGGTCGACGGGCAGGCCTACGAGCGGGTTGACGGGCAGGCCTACGGGCGGGTCAACGGGCGGGCCTACGGGCGGCACGACGTGCGGGCAGGCCTACGGGCGGGTGCGCGGGCAGGCCTACGGGCGGGTCGACGGGCAGGCCTACGGGCGGGTCGACAGGCAGGCCTACGGGCGCGTCGACGGGCGGGCATACGGGCGTCGCGACGCGCGGGCAGGCCTACGGGCGGGTGCGCGGGCAGGCCTATGGGCGGGTGCGCGGGGTGCGCTAGCGGGCAGCGCGGTGTGCTGGCATGGCACGATGGCGTGGCGCGTTGGCGTGGCGCGGGCTAAGGCGTTGTAGGGCAAACGCGGAGGAAGGAGGCGGCCTAAGTCTAGGAACGGCGAAGACTAGGTGAGGCCTAGGAACGGCGAACCTACTGCTGATACCATCTTAGAAACTAAACACAGCGGAATGAGTTCGATTGATTGGGTTGGGGTACAAATGCCTAACCCTAATTGTTTGTACCCCATATAGCATGACCCACTAGAGGCTATAACATTTGACAGGGTCCTACAACCAGAAACCAAAACTTCGAGACAGGGGAAGGCCTGGTTTGGGCCCTTAACGCATCCGGGGAAGGGTCGAGCGAGGCACTTAGTGGCACAGGTGCAGTGCGAATCTAACACTTTCGGCAGTCGAGCTGGAGCAAAAGTAGCCCGGAATGTTCAGGGCATTAAGGGCATATGCCCTTGAATCGATAGGCTTGCTCACGATTAGCAATGTAGACATTTTTAAAACCCTTCTGAGCAGTGTGTCTTTTTTGGTACGGTGACACTGATGCATCAGTGTAACTTGAAGTTTTTGAAAACTTTACCCAGAGGCATCAGTGTAGGTATATTTTTTACCCTGATTGTACTGTAGGTGCTAGCAGCAACCAAGCTCAAGGCCCAAATTGCGCAAGATTACTAATCCTGCGCAAGGTGGGCACTCGTGGGTGGGGGTTGTTGTGAAAGTCGAGCGCAGTGGCTTGTCTGGTTTCGCTGCAACACTTGTTTTTTTCGTCGAATCAGCAAGCTTCCCGGGGGGAACATGTGTTTGGGGACCTCGACAGAGTCCCAAATTTCGGAGTCGAGGGAGTTGAAGTTTTGCAGTGAGTGCAGTTTTGACCAATCAGGTTGCAGTTTTTGCTTCGGGTAGGTTGCAAGCAGACACGAAGTGACGCGGAGTCGGTCGTCAATACTCACATGCTGCCGTCGTAGTGCATCATTACGAAATTGGGTGTACTGGTATGAAATTTTGGAGAACCTTCATCTCGATAGGTAGAGTTTCCGAGAGGGGGGGGGGGGGGGGGGGGGTGGTTCCATGTACGCTCTTCAGGGTAATCTTTGCTAAGGGAAATTTTACCCCAGAGCATCAGTGTGGCCTAAATCACTACACTGACATATCAGTGTAACACTAATCCCCCCAAAAATTACTCCAGCCCATCAGTGTTGACTGAAAAATTCACCCTTCTTATCAGTATAGTGTCGGGTAAATTACACTGCAAACCTGAGCCCTGGTCGCCATGTCACAAGTTGGGTACGGTAGTACGTGAGTTTAACCTTGCCCTTGTTGATTTCTTCTTTGACAAAGAAGTAACGGAGTGCGATGTGTTTCGTGCGGTTCATGAAGCCGGACTTTTTCTCGATCTTGATCGCACTCTGATTATTGCGGAGTAACGTGAAGTGCCTGTTCATCGTCACTTTCGCTTCCTGTAGGAGCTCCATCAGGTACCGTATAGTTTCGGCTAAAAGACCCGCTGATAAGAAGGTCCCCTGCGACTCTTGAATGGGTAGGGGGACTCATATTGTGGCAGATATTGTGAGGACCCCCCCTTGGCCTCTAATCATCTAAAGACCCCCCCCCCCCCCCTTTCTCTTAAGTGCCCAATTTATTTTGGTGAATGTAATTGTTGAACTTACACATACATCACTTCACTGCCATCTCAATAAATCTAGTCATTACAAGGTCAGGATGGTAATCTACCATTGAAGATTCCTTACTAGCCCACACCTCTCTGCCTTTCTCTTACTCCCCACTCTTCGTCCGAATCCTCCTCCAGCCCACCCTCCCCCTCCTCCTCCTCCTCCTCCTCCTCCTCCTCCTCCTCCTCCTCCTCCTCCTCCTCCTCCTCCTCCTCCTCCTCCTCCTCATCCTCCTCCTCCTCCTCAGGGAAGTCCCCGACATCCTCAGCATCCGCCGCCTTTGCCGCCTCCTCATCATGCGGCGGTTGCATACAAGGGGTTAACCCACTCCTCCACCTCAGGGGCGACGTGCACGTCTTGTGCCACCTCAACCTCGCCCGCATCGCGCATGTGGGCGAGGACGAGGTGATCCTGCTTCCCATCAGTAGAGTTGCTGATTCTGGTGTTGAGAAATGCCTTTTCAATGATGTGCTCGGGGACCGCCGCCCAAGGGGCCGCAATCCACTTGAGCACCATTTTGGCAGGGGGCTTCTTCAAGATCCCTGGGACGCACAAGGGAAATAAGATGTACAGGGGGCAGGCTGAAGTTATTTATGAAAAGGGGAAAAAACAAGCAAACTGGGAACAATCAACACACCTGCTTTCGTGAAGGTGTTGATGCTGACCTCGGCAAACCAGTCGTCGTACATCTCACGCAGCAGTGACTTGAATGAGCAATTGATGCTCACGTCAAGGGGTTGCAGTAGAGGAGTGCAGCCCCTTGGGATGATGGCCGGGATCACCCGGTTCCACTTCAGGTTGGTGAGCATGCCACCGGTGAGATGGCCACGGTACGAGTCCAGGACCAAAAGGGTCTTGGACCGTTGGATGCCACGCGGGGGCTTAATGAACGGCAGGAGGATGTTGTTCACCTAGTCATCCACAAGCTTGGCGTCCATCCATCCCTTTGCCTGTGCACGAATGACGACTCATGCACAAGAAACGACAGTCGTGGTTACACATCACGTTCAAACACGGACGTAACATGAGCTTCAAATGGTTGTAACTCACATGCAGGGACCCGAATCTTCGGGATTGTCTTGCGCTTAAAATTCACCATGGCAGGGAACTTGCGGCCGTCAGCGGTGATGCGAGCATCACCCTCACCCTCTCCTTCTCATACCCAACGCTCCTGACGTGCACCGTCTACTCACCGCGGTGATGAAGGGTGCGTTCGTTCGGCATCTCGAAGAACACAGGCGTTTGGTCGGTGTTTATAATGTTCCACTCCTTGATGCCGTGCTTGATGATGTTCTTCCATGTGAACTCCCAAAACTGCAAGCACTTCGGCTTGCACTCTGCCGCAGACGTACACATTTAGATACTTGGTCATGAGCCACGGAATTGGGTAGGACATGACGGTCACATGCACTAAGAGGTTGCGATACACACCAACGACTTACCTCTTGCTAGATGCTGGCCCATCTTCGTCTTCACGCGGATGGAGAGTCCCAGGCGCGCGGAAACGGTAGGTCCACCTGTTGGACGCCATCCAGCCGGTAGATCCGGGTGGCGGATCGGATAAAATATGTGGAGCGCTCCAGACGGCGCCTTTAGTGTATCAACGGGAGTTGTGTGTTGGGCCCGTCCTCGCTTGGGCGGAGCCGACTTCGTGGTCGGGTGTGAGGGGAGCAGCCGACCCGCAGCAGTGGGTGAGCTAGTTGATGAGCAGGTCGACCTGCACGGGGGCCACTGCACGGGCGCCGAATTTGAGGTCGACCTAGGAAGTCGACCTGCGGAGGGCGTCGACTTGGTGACGCCGACTTCAGGTAGCCGACTTGGGTGGTCGGTTGACAACTGCACTGGTCGGCATGGAGCTGGTAGACCAGGAGTGCTGGTCGACGTGGAGCTGGTCGACCAGAAGTGATGTCCACCTGGAGCTGGTTGACCAGGGGCGTGGTTGACCTGGTGAGGTCGACTTCAGGTGGTCATCGACTTGAGGTGGTCATCGACTTGGGAGGTCGACGGGCACATACGAGAGCAGCTGGTCGACGTAGTTGCCCGGTCGACCAGGTTACCTGGGTGACGAGATTCTGCGGAGGAGTGCGACGGTCGCCCAGGCGAAGTTGGCGAGTCCGACCTCGGTGGTGGTATCCCGAGGTTGACATGGCGGATCAGGTGGAGCCGTCAGCACAAGGATGACTTGGTGTGAGCGTTGTGCAGGTGACGAGGCTCAGCCCGCCAATCATCTGCGAGCACCTGCGAAGCGAGTGCGCTGCTGTCCTACGAGAGCAATGCTGGCACGCCGTCAACATGCGACGTTGGCACAACGTCGACTTTGCACTGCTGGAGCGCGGTCGACCAAGTCGTGCTGGAACGTGGTCGACCATGCTGCGCTGGTAGTCGACCGACCTGAATGCTAGCTTTGATGTAGTCTTGCCATGCCAACTTCATTGGACTATTGTTGTCAACTTTCATTAGTGAAACTCTTGCCGATTCTCCTTGTGAACTAGCAAGCTATGTGTGCACTAGGAAAACGACTAAGGACCAACGAAGGCAGAGATCATACGAGCACCCGTGCCTAGCCCGTGGTCTAGCTCCCGTTGTAGCAGTTATCTCCGCATGGTGCAGTGAGCGTGGACGGCACACGACTTACTTTTCAGTCAGGTCGACGTAGTAGTCACTTACCTATTATGTTCGTAGGCCGGCAGCTATGCAAGTCACCACCATGGTTGGCGTAGGTGACTCCGGTGTTGCAGACACCATGGAGGCCCGGTCGGAAGGGGCGAGGAGACGCCATAAGGCAAAGGAGTTTGGCGACCTCCCGTGGGCAGTCGTCGAGGCTGGCATCCGTGCCGTGTGGGTGACGGAGAACCCTCCTTCTCGGCCTGCTTCTCCTCGACCGGTGAACACCGAGGGAGGCGTCGATGCGGGCGTCAACGCCGGAGGTGGCCAAGTTGGTAGTAGTGTGGGAGGCAAGTCGAGGCAGCATGGTGTGATTCACGCCGATGAAGTCGGCGGCGTTCAGGCGCGAGGGGTGCGGTCATCGATGGCTGCAGGGTCCTTGCAGGGCGACGTCGGAGGACGACGAAGCGGATTGTCGCAGATGTCGGCGACCCAGGTGACGGCGGGCGGGATAGCACTGTCAGAATGTTATTCTCTAGCATGTAGTGGGGTGCTCTATAGCGGGTACAACCCAACTAGGGTTCGCTATATGTATCCCAACTGCTGCTAGTGAAACCTCATCTTTTTGCCCAAACTTCTCTTGCCTAGCTAGGGCTTACCTAGCTATGGCTCCTAACTCTGCCTACTATCTTAACAAGCAATGAGCTACGGCTACTTCAAGTTTACGCCGGACAGGATCCTGGTCACCCCGACGCTCGTTGGTCGACAAGACAGTCTCACCTGGAAGGAAGCCATCGAGCTCCAGCTGGAGATGGCCGGGCTGATCGGCTTTGCTCGAGGCACCATGGCGATGACGGACAACCCCGACTTGCGTGCGGAGTTTCGCGCCGTGCAGCTCTTGACTTTCACGGTCATCTCGCGGTGTTGCTCGCGGGGCGTGCAGATCGCCTTGAAGTGGTGCCGAGAGTACCTCAACACCGGCCACCGGGCGTGGCACTTCATTGAGTCGACCTACCAAGTCACCGACGAATAGTTCATCGCCCAGCTGGAAAGGCAGCTAACGCACCAGCGTATGGGCGACGAGGAGACGGCGACCGACTGCTGCAACCGAGCCCGGCGAATTCTCGCCACCATCAGGATGGCCGGCGCGCAGTACTCGACGGCGTCGTACGTCACCCACATCATGCAGGGACTCTCGAGCAGCTACAACCTCCTGGAGCGGCTGTCCATGGTGCCGAGCACGAGGAAGACGCTCAACGAGGACAAGTTGACCTCGTACATCCTGCAGGACGAGGCGATGCAGGAGGCAGAGCGGTCCCAGGAGCTCTTAGCGCAGGCAAACTTCGTGGCCGACCGGGATGGCGCGGACAGTTTGGCGGCAGTGGTAGCAGTGGCTGGAAGCCGGCCAGGGAAGTTGACAAAAAGAAGTCGACCAAGAACAGCGGCCGAGGAGGAGGAAGTCGACGTCGGGAGTGCTGGCTGTGCGGCGATCCCGACCACCTCTCCTTCGAGTGCCCCAACCACAGTGACGCTGACGACGATGACACCAAGGGAGACCGCGGAAGGTCTGGCAGTCGTCGTCCTCGTCAAGGAGGAAATAAGCCGCGCAAGGAGAAGCAGTCGACCACGTCGACCTCGGCGAAGGACGCCGACTCCTCTACTGGCGGCAAGGCGCGGGACGACAAGACAGCGTCGTGCTCCCTGGTCGGCGTCGTGGAGCCGACCGTCTCGCTGGCGCCGGAGGCCGGAGAGGACTTCCAAGCGGTGGCGGCGGCTGTGCAGGCGAACCCGGCGGTGGTCCTGCTTGACGACGGCTGCTCCCACCACCTGATGGGAACGAAGGAAGTCTTTGTGGACCTGCAGCCGAGAGGCCCCATCAAGGCACGTGCACGGCTTCAATGGGGCGCTGCAAGACATCCACGGCCGTGGCACCGTCGCCCTGCAAAGGGAGGCCGAGAAGCAGGTGCTCATCCCCGACGTGCTGTACGTCCCGGGCCTGCAGATAAACTTGCTGTTGTCTGGCCAGCTGAAGGAGCACGGTGTGAAGCTGCAGGAGGACGGCGACGGTATGCTGCTCGTCTCGGCAGCTGGAAGCAGAAAGAGGTGGGGTTGTCCTCGTGTGAGACATAGTACATGGCCCTGCATCATGGGGCAAAGGAGGTGGTGTGGCTGAGGCGTTTGTTGGAGGAAATCGGAGTGTGTCAGAGGGAGCCGACAGTGATTTTCTGTGACAATGAGTCGGCGGTGAAGCTTGCGAAGAATGCCTGTCTTCATGGCTTGACAAAGCACATCAGGCCAAAGTGGCATTGGACAAGGAGGATCCTGGACAAGGAGGTGCGGCTGGAGATTGTGAAGACCCAGCAGCAGGCGGCTGACATTCTCACCAAGCGCCTGGCAGAACCTGAGCATTGGAAGGGCATGAAGCTTGCGGGAATGAGTGTGCATTGAGGGTGCATGCTTGAGTTATGGCATGTGGGATGATGGTTGGCAGCCAGAGGGGGAGTTTGTTGTGTGATGCAACCATATGCATTCACGTCTGTCTGCCTCCCATCATATGTTCGTGCGTTGCATGCGTGGTATGAGCGTGCGCAAGAATTTGTGTTTTGTGCGGTTTGGTTTCTCTGAGTGTGTGTGAATGTTATTTGGCTTGAGCAGATATCTGAAGTGACTCCTCTGCTCAAGAGCTTTCCGACGAACCAAGTATCAC